GCACACAGCCCCCACCCAACTGGGAAATACCCCAGGGCAAAGAGGAAGGGTGCTGGGGAAGGCAGGCAGGTGCTGGGGAGCAGGATCGTGGAGGGATGTGGGTGCAGAGCAGGGTGGGTGCTGGGGCCAGAGCAGGGTGAGGACAAGGCAGGGGACAGCAGAAGGGTCACCCAGGCTGCAAATGTCACAGCAGAGCCCTCCCAGCACCAGCCCTGGCTTCAATCAGCCCTCCATCACACACTGTTTGCTCTTGTTGACAGCACATTTACTTGCACTTGTCAAGCACGTTGTAAATAAGTGAAACAGCCCTGCCCTTCCTGCCCCCCGGAATGGCCAGGAAGGGGCCGGCCGGTCCCGCCCCCCCAGGCAGCTCCTTCCCAGCACCGGCTCAGCCCGGGCGCAGGATCCGTCTCCCACTGAGCGGAACACCCCATGGACACTGGCTCAGAGAGACAGTGGATGACCCCAGTTGTCCCCAACCCCAGTGCTTGTCACAGCCACCCCAGTGCTTGTCACAGCCACCCCAGGGCAGCACACAGCCCCCACCCAACTGGGAAATGCCCCAGGGCAAAGAGGAAGGGTGCTGGGGAAGGCAGGCAGGTGCTGGGGAGCAGGATCGTGGAGGGATGTGGGTGCAGAGCAGGGTGGGTGCTGGGGCCAGAGCAGGGTGAGGACAAGGCAGGGGACAGCAGAAGGGTCACCCAGGCTGCAAATGTCACAGCAGAGCCCTCCCAGCACCAGCCCTGGCTTCAATCAGCCCTCCATCACACACTGTTTGCTCTTGTTGACAGCACATTTACTTGCACTTGTCAAGCACGTTGTAAATAAGTGAGAGAAACAGCCCTGCCCTTCCTGCCCCCCGGAATGGCCAGGAAGGGGCCGGCCGGTCCCGCCCCCCCAGGCAGCTCCTTCCCAGCACCGGCTCAGCCCGGGCGCAGGATCAGTCCCTGCCTGCTCACACCAGCAGCAGCCCCGGGACAGACACTGGTGGCCAGGCTTGGAAAAGTGCTGAGGATCCACCACCTCCCACGGGAAACCAGCAGAGTGCCCGTCCTGGACTCCCACGGCCCAAAGTCCACACCAGAGTGTCCGTAATTATTTAGCTTAGGGATAATCTACATCTGCCAGACACAGCCAGCCATCCTCTCCGAGGTGATCTCAGGTCACGGAGTCAGGAGGAAGAGCAATCAGCCGTTCTGAGTGTGGAAGACACAAAGAAACAAGCAGTGAGAAGGGGATGGTGGTAGCAGGTCCGTCATGCACAGGGTTGTGGTGCCACTCGTTTTTGCCCTGGCAGCAAAAGCAGCTGGAGCTGCTCCAGCCCCTGGCAGCTCAGCCCTGCTCTGCACTTTGCCATCCCAGGGCTGGGCTGGGAACGGGACCAGTGCAGGGATGAGAGGTTAAAAAAAGCCCCGAGCTCTGCACAGCAGGTCGTTCCTGGGCTCAGGGAAGCAGCCTCTGTAACTCGATTAATTGAGAAAGCTGCTCTTGCCATAATCTCATTGTTCCTCCCAGCCCCAGCCCACCTCCTCCTCCCTGCCTGGGGACATTTATCACTGAGCCGGGTCACCCTGGTGATGGGTTTTACAGATCCTTGCTCCTCACAGCCAAGGGCAAGGAGCAGCCACCAGGGCAGACCCAGACCCAAGGAAGGTGATGAAAACAACCCCAGGACAGGTCCTGGGACCTGCTGCCACCAGCAGGACGGGTTCATCACCCAGGGAACTCCAGCCAAGTCTCACAGGGGCAGCAGAGAAGCCACCAGAGCCTCAGGGCCACCGTGTCTGCTGGACAGCAGGCTGGAGAGCTGGACCCCCCTGACAGCCAAGGGTATCCCCAGAGCTCCTCCTGCACTGACTGTGGCAGGAAAAGCCCACTGGGAGCACAGCTGGACCCACATCTGTATCCCTCACTGATTCCTCTTCCTCCAGCCCCAGCAGTGGATGCTACATGCACCATATGCTTGTGTCTCTCTCCTCTAAAACCAGCTGCTCCAAAAGTAGCAGCAGTGCCAACACAAACCCCACCCAGCACAGTGCATCCTCCAGGCTTGACACCATCCTCCCAGGAGATGTTCCTGGAGGTGACAGCTCTGGAAAGCCATGTCCCTGAGCCAGAAGGACCTTCCTGCTCCCATGGCATGGCTTGGGGAGCCTTGGAAAACAAGAGGTGCCACCCCAAAGCCCAAAATTTTCATCACTTCAGCCAGTCCAGCTCCTCCTTTCCAGTTGTGCCCATCCTACTGGGGATCCTCTGTCCCATCACAAGCCATCTGTTCTGGGAACGACCCAGAGAGGGCACCAGCAGCAGTGTTAACATGCCAGAGGGAGGGTGGTTCCCAGCTCACAAGCTGGCACAGCAGCCACAGAGGCTGCTGAGGAGATGCTCTCTGCTCAGACAGTGTCCCCTTTCTCCAGGGCACAGCTGGCACATCCCTGCCTGGCACCAGGGCCACACTGGCCCTTTGCTCCCATCACAGGGCAAAGCCCACGTTCCCTGGGCTGGGCTCCAGAGGGATGAGCTGCCTCTTGCCCAGTTGGAGCCTCTTGCCCATTTGGAAAGCTTTGCCAATCAGATTCCTGTTCAGAGCAGAAATCAGCCATGCAGAGACTGATATCTTCAGCTTAATTTGTCTGTTCACAGAGCACAGACACTGTCCTGTTTCTTTAAATAGCCCCAGTATCAAATGACTTGTGAGCATTAACCTAAGCTAATGGATCACTTCTCCCTTGCAAGAAGCAACTGACTCTCCCAGCTCCTTCCTCCCTCTGCCCCGTGTCCCAGGGGAAATCTGCCCCAACAAACCAGCTGTGGTGCAGACTGGTCACTCAGCCCCCAGTGCAGCTGTGCCAGGCTCCCACCAGCATCCCAGCCCTCCCAGCATCCTCACCTGCCCTCTTGGGAGCTGCAGCCTCACACAGGGCTGCTCCTCCTTCCCCACCCTTCCTCTTGTACTTCAGGATCAGGCTTGCTTGAAAATTGCAGCCTGGGCAGTTTATACCTTGCTGGGATGGGAAATGTTGCTATGAACTCAGTCAAGTGCCCCTGGGGTGCTCTCACATTCCCTTTCTCCCTCCCAACCCCATATCCCACCAGTGGGATTTCACAGAATCACAGAATTGTCAGAGTTGGAAGGGACCTCTGGAGATTATCTCGTCCAGCCCAGCTGCTAAAGCAGGGGATTTCCATCAGCTTTGGCAACCCCAGCCAAAACCCCCTTGTCACAACCTTGGAGAGCACAAAAGGAGCTGCCTCCTGCCTACTGAGGTGCAGAAAAGCCTTAGAAAGGTTTGTGCTGTCTTCTAAGAGGATTCTTTCTCCTGTCCAGTAGCCAGGTCACTTCAATAGCACAGGGAGCAGACACTCTCCAGGGCTTTGCTCTGAGTAATAACAGGGCTTGTAGGTGTAGTGGAGAGCCAAAAATCAGGGGGTAATCCCACACCCTGCCACGGACACGGGTGGGAAGGACCAACAGCACTACCACCCAAACACTCAAACAGTCCCAGAGTACATGTTGTAATGAAAAGCTGCCAAGATCCCCCCTTTTAGGATCTATTTGACATGCTCAGATTTGAATGGGTCTCTGTAGGATCCCCCTGCCCCTCGCTGGATGGCACCCAGCTGAGAACAGAGCCATGCCAAGCCCCCCACAGCAAGACCCCATGGCATGGATCCCCCCTGCCAAGCCCCCTGGGACCCCTGCCCAGGCCAGGGAGATGCATGGCAGGAACACCAGAGACATGGCAGAGCCTTGTCCCCCTGTTGAATTAGCTACCCTGGGCTAATTGCACATCTGGAAGTTTGGTTGGTATGTTGTTTCTCAGGCTTTGTGTGTTGTTGCTATTTTAGTATCATCCAAAACGTGCAGGAAAAAGAATCTGGAGGCTTTGTCTCCTGTGGAGATGTTTGTGCTGATCCAGTCTGGGACACTGCAGAGCCAAAGCCACACTGCTCTGCTTCAGATCTGGGCAGCAGTACAGCTGCCTACCCTTGCTCCTGTTCCTGCCCCTGCCCCTGCCCTTGCTCCTGTTCCTGCCCCTGCCCACCCATATGGTGGGAGAGAGTCATCCAAGCCAGACCAGACCCTGCACCAAGATATATCCACACCTCGAGGAGGGGCAGGAGCTGCTCCATCACCCCACACCAGCCAAGGGGAGGGACCTGGGTGGTATTATCCCCAAGATCCCCCCATGCCTTGCTTAAAGCTCTTTGCATGCTCAGCCCAGGGGGGTTCTCTTGTCCCAGAGCAGTGGGTCACCCACCCGTGGTCCAAACCCAACTGCAGGGGACAATATCATAAAATGTGAGGATGGAAGGGACTTCCACGATCATCTGGTCCATCATCTTTGACCCCAGCCCAGACTTTCACTGTCCCAGGCAAGCCCGTGGTGGCAGCCCCAGCTCTGAAGCCACACAGAGCCCCAAACCTGCTCCACACACACATTTCTCTTGCTGGAGCTGCTCAGACAACACTCTCGGGCCAGGCTGAAGCTTTTCAGTGTGAAAAAAGTGCTGCTGCTGCCTTGTTAGGTATGAAAACCAGCACCCATCAAATGACCTTCCTGTGCTTTGAGGGCACCTGCAGGGCCCAGATCAAATGCTCGAGCCCATCTGAGTGCACAGGAAGGACCAACCTCTGCACCACTGCTCCCATGACCTCGGCCTCTCCATCGGGACCCAGAGATCATGGCCTGAACCTTTCCCTCCAGTTGCAGTCCTGCCCTGGAGCCAAGCTCTGGGGGAAGGCTGGACACCAGGTTGCCTGGCCTCAGCTGTCCAAATACAGATGCCGGGAGGCATCCGGAGCAGGCAGCTCCGCTCCCGGCTGGACACGCAGTAACTGCTTCCCCGAGCAGGGCAGGAAGCTGCAGACACAGCACTGCCTGAATGCAAACTTGCTCCTCACCTGCCAAAAAAAGCAGCCCCTGGAGCAGCTTGCCTGGCAGGAGCACCTGGAGCAGAGCCCCTGCCCCGGGCAGAGCCGCCGCGCGGTCCCTTACCTTGTTCTCCGTCGGAGCCGACGCCGGATGTTGCTGCTTGGTGATGTTCTCAGCCAGACACCAGCAGATCCTCTTCTTCTGCTCCTGGGAGTAAGCCTCCAAACTTAATAAGCACTCCGACTTCTGACGTAAAGGAAACACAGGCAGAGAGCAGGTCATTAGCTGTGTCGCAGGCCCTGGCTTTGTTTGCAAACTACTTGCTCCCAACACACGGGATCGGACGAACGTGAGTGTAATGCCTGCACCAGTGCCCTGTGCTCAGGGCAGGAGGCAGCAAAGCAGATGAGGAATCAGCTTCCCAGCAGCATTTCCTCCCAAGCACGGGCTGGAAGGCTGCTGCCCTGCAGAGCTGCTGGCTTCTGCTCTAAGGAGGGGGAGCAGCGTGGTGGGGCACGGGCAGAGCAGCAGCCGCTCTGCACCCTGTGCCCCCAGAGGGGAGACGTGTCTGTGAAGCTCATCTAGCAGGTAGAGATGGCTCTTGGCTGTGTGCAAACAGTAGTGAGGCCCTGTAGTGTGAGCTGATGGAAACAAACATCCTCAGGCTGGGTGGGGCTGGGGGAAGGCAGAGCTCTGGAGAAGCTCCAGACCGGCTCTCCTGTCCTGCTCCTCACACCCAGCACACACCAGTTACGGGGGGATGCTCCAGCTCTGGTCACACTGTCAGCAACACGCAGTGAGGAAGGAATTAAGAGAAACAGGAATTCATCCCAGGTGAGCCCACCCCTCCTCATGCCCTAACCCCTTCCCTGCATCCATCCTTTTTGATAGAAACCTGTTCCTCTTGGATAGGTTTTCTTCAGGCCAAATCCCACTTTTAAGAAACACACATTTAAGATCCCACATTTAAGAAACCTTCTGAGCAAGCACTCTCAGCAAGGGTCTCCCAGCCCTTTAACTGCTCATCTCTTGTGCTAAAAATTAAGCATTAATGACACTTGCTTCCTACTGGGACTTTGCAGGTTATGCTTTAAAAATGGTCCAGAAATGCCCACGGCTGCATCATCTCCTGTGGCCAGATATGAAAATAAAAAAATCAAAACAGAACTTCAGGACAGAATCACAAAGAAAGAAAAAAGTCTTCCACTGCAGAGCACAGAAAAGGCCTTTCATTTCCCCCTAGGATTTACTTCCAGGAGGGCAGGTCTCCAACAGCCTGTGTTTCCCAGAAAGGTCAGAGAGGACTAAGGAACTTGCAGCTTCGTGACTCCAGAGACACAACACAACCACAAGGGGAAATGCTTTTCAGTCACACCATTTAAAACACTGTTTTCCTTGGATGCCAGTTCATTCACATTTAATCCAAAATCCGTGCTAAACCAGCAAATAACTTGACCTGCCATGTCACCTCTAGGATAAGAGGTCTCTGTAGTTCAGTCCTTTGCCTTTCCAAGGAGACTTGCAGGAAGGAGAAAATCAGATCTTTCTTACATCTTGGACATCACCACATCTCTTCCTAAAGCAGAAATTGGCTTTAAAATGCCTGCTTAGGTTTTAAAATGCACACTCAGGCTTACTGAGCACTATCCAAATGGAATAGGGGTTTGTGATTCTGGGACAGGAGGTGGTGGGTCTCTCCCCCTCCCCAGACCCTGAGCTGCAGGGATGCTCCAAGCATCCCCTGGAGCAGCACAGCACCCTGCCCCAGCCCAGACATCCCAGTCCCTCCCAGTCGCACACCAGCAGATCACCAGGCTGCACCACTGTGCTGTCCCTAGGAAGGCACCTCATTGTTCCTGCTTCCCCAGGGCAGGATGGGTGCCTGTCAGCCCGGCTGGAATCTGGGCTGGCATTTCCCCACCCCACACTCAGGGCCATAAGGGAAGGACAGCAAGGACTGAGCGAGTCTCACAGTCCCCAGGGCAGCAGCAAGGAGCTCAGTGCCCACATTGATGCTGCATCTACTGCACAGCCCCACCAGGACTGCAACGCCCCTGGAGTGAGGCTTAAAGCAGCTCCAAGGTCACCTTCTATCCCCTTGCATGTGACAAACCCACAGCTCAGCTGCCCCTGCTCCACAGCCCCTCGCTGATTCAATTCCAAGCCCCTCTCTTTGAATTTAGCATCAAACCACTCCCAGCCACGGGCTGCAGAGCGAGGTGCTGCCCTCCCCCCTGCTGCCCCACAGCCAGCTGGGGAGACCCCCCGGCCCCAGCAGCCTGGGAGAGAAGATGGAGCAGAGGAGAAAGTCACCACCTCGACATGTGTCCTGGGCATTGTGGGCAAGACTGACGGGCAACATGAACAGCCAAAATAATAACCACCCTTTCTGCACTTACTTCACTATAATTTCTGTGCTACAGCAGCAAGATCTCAGCACTTCATCCTTCCACAGTGATATTTAACCTCTCCAACACACATTTCCCATGGGAAGGGCTCCACTTCTCCTTCTGCCAACATCTTCTTCCCCAACACAACACAAAACCACACTGGGGGAAGAGCCAGCACAGCCCCTGGGGGCTGAGCACGCACAGCTGCCTCGAAAGCACAGGATCCTCCCCTGGGACCCCAGCTGGATGCAGGGCAGACGTGGGAAGGACCCACTGTCCCATGGGATCAAGCTCTGTGGGTGGCACATGTCCCCAGAGCCCGGCCCCATGCCCTCCCCACGCCTGGGAACCAGCCCCATTGCTATTGTTTTCACTGGGGGAGGCTGCCCTGCTCCCTGCCAACAGCTACAAAGAGAAAACAGAGTTTAATCTCCCAGGGCTGGGAAAGGAGGATGCAGATGGTGCGAAGGGGGTGTCTGCAACCAGATAAAGCCACAAAGTGAGGTGGCTGCCCCTGGCTTTCTGCCTGCCTCCAGCCCCTCCAAAACATGGTGTTGCAGGTGTGTGGTGGTTGGCAGGAACCTCTGGGGAGCCCCCAGTGTCAGCACCAGACCCTGCAGCAGCCCTGGGACCCCCACCCCAGCATGGGACCCCTCTCCCAGCACTGCCTGTGGGAGATCAGGAGGAGAACAGAAGGCAGAGAAAGACCCAGACCAGACAACACAAGTCTCAAATGGGTCCTGTTAGAGCAGGAAAAGACCTCTCTGCTCCAAGGGAAAAGCTCAACCCTATGGATGCTCCTCCAGGCTGTGCCCCAGCCCCACAGCACCCAGGAGATGACAGGGGAGGGGTCTGGCCAGGCTGAGAGCTCCTAGTAACCCCAGCAGACACCAAGCCAAGAGGGACTCTTGGCTCTGCAGCCCATCAATCAGCCAAGGAGCTCCTGGAGAACAGCACCAGAGGGCAGGAAGGGCCCCCTGGACTCCAGGCACCAAGACCTCCCACTGCAGATGTGCCCCTCTCTGCAGGGCCCAGCACAACAGCACCTGGAGCACCAGGGTGGCTCTGCATCACAGGGTGGCTCGGGTTGGAAGGGACCTTAAAGATCATCTAGTTCCAGCAAAGCTAAGACATAACAACACCAGGGAGCCAGGCTCAGCCTGACACCTCCAACACCCCACCTGGGTGACCAGCCTGGCCCCAGGCTCCTCTCATCTCACCCACCTCCCCCAGCTCCTGCAGACACTGTCCCCACGGGCACCCGGGCTGCTCCTGGAGCAGCTCAAGAGGGATGTGCTTCTGCTCCCTTCCCGGGCTGCTCTCCTCTGCAGGGTCCATGGCTGGGTGGCTCAGGACAGAACCTGCAGCCCAGCTCAGCTCTGGCCTCCAGCATTCACAGCCTTGGTCTGTGGCCAAACCCAGCAGAGATCCCAGAGGGGAAGTACCTCGGAAACGGGCTCCAGACTACAATGGCTTTTACATTGCAGAGCAAACCTTCCACTGGCAAAACAGCAAGCCCTGGGAATATCCTGTGCACAAAACATGGACAACTGCTGGCTGGGGATTGCATGACCCATGGAGCTCGGTCTGATGAGAAAGTTCAGTTTGCTGCCGTGCTAAGCTGTGCTGGGGGGGGAGAACGTGGCTCTTCCTGTGGTTTTTGGACTGCTGGGCACACTGGTGGTGCCCAGAAAACAAACCCTGGCAGCAGCAGCAGGGGCCCTATTGAAAGCTGAGATGGCCAAATGTGCCAGGATCTCATGGTGCTGGAAGGCACAATGGTGTGTGTGGAGCTGCCCTTTGCAGGGCCCAGCACTGTGCAGGGAAGGGTGGCTCGTTGCTGTGTGCCTTGTTTTCAGGCCAGAGAGGCTCCACAGATGAAGGTGAGGGATAGATGTGCCCATCCTTCCTTTTGATACCAAGGGCTGGCTCTTAGGAAATGGGTCCTCACTGTCCTACATCCACCCATGGACCAGGAAAGGCACCAGGACATCAAAGTGCACCAGCTCCCTCATGGTGCAGACACCAGGGGCTCCAGCTCAGCCCAGGCCAGTCAGACCCTGCTGCACTGAGATGCTGCTGCTAAGGAGGGAGAAGACAGAGGAGTGATACCACAAGAACACAACATCACAGCACAGCCTGGAGGATGCTACATGGCCAGGAAGAAAAGTCTGAAGAACTTTTTCCACCCATGAGGACACAGGGCTTGGTCTGGTTTTTGCAGGCCAGCGGATTGTCCTTAAGTGGCTGATCAGATAACAACACTCATGGGAATCCCCAAGCCCTGAGGACCAGCCAGGCAGGGAGCAAACCCCCCTGGCACACAGCACAGCTCCAACACCTGCCATTCTGCAAACACCTTCTCCTCTGGGGTGAGGAGCTCAGAGCTCACCCACCCCTGCAAACACTCCCCCAAAGACACTGAGATCCAACCTATGCAGCCAGCCTAGGGAACTGCAGTTCCCCTCCAAAATCACCCACTGCTGCCTCGGCCTTTTCCAAACCTCTCCAGTGCTGTGACTGCATCTCATCAGCTCTTCTTTTTGCCAACATCTGGGAAACACAACCACAGAATTCAAGCTGGGGCAAAAAATTAAGAACCTCTGCTCCAAAAAGCACATGTGGACGTCACCTCAAAGCTGAGATTCAGGTCTAACTGTGTAAAGATTCACAAAGCCAGGGAAGCAGAGTGTCCCAGTTTACCTGCTTCTCCATGTGGGACACAAGCAGTCCCTGCTCTGCTTGGAGAGACCCAAACTTGGAGTTGCCACTGCCCAGGAGCTGCCCTGGGCACACCCCAGCCCATGGCTTGTGCCAACCTGGGACTTCTGCTACCAGTGCCACTTCACATCATCC